GAAGAATTGAGGATGTTGCAGTCACCTGAAGGGGGTTTATAGGAATACCGAAACTTTGATAGTCAGATACTCTAATGAATTGAAAAATCGACGTGTCCAAGTATTTCTCTCTACTAAAACAAAAGAGTAGACAAGGGAGTATAACACTTAATCCTCTCAATGTATATTATAAAACGGCAGTGCATCACACATCAATATAAGGTACCTGGTTATGTAAAAAGTACATCCAATGAATAATATTTTACTATATAAACCTGGTCTACAACGAATTTTTCCGCTTTTAGCAGAAAATAAAACATATAGTACATAAAAATAAATATTACAAATGATCAGTCAAAAAGTATTTTCACTCTATAAACAAATGTGTTGACTAGAACTCTATATTGTGATACAACTACGGTGTATAACCAAAAAAGATTTAGAATAGGTGTTTCTTTGTTTCCATATCAAAAAAAATTTTCTTTATCTACTCCTATTAATTTATATATTAATTATTCAACTGCTTTTGAGCAATTAATAGTATCAATTAACAAATAGCGTGAGTTTTCATAGTGAGTTATTATAACTCACGCTGGGCTCGTACAATAATTCGGTATGTAAATAGTGTGCGCTGTAAATTCTTGGAAATTTTAAAGTCGATAAATGTTCCATTGGCGTAAAATGTTAGAAAGATTTTTTAACAACTGTAAAGGAATGAATAATAATTAAAAGATTTTAAAATTATTCAATTGTCAACGCCTCTCAGTAGGCGGACCAGTCAATTATTACATTCAGGGGAGTACTGTCATTTGATATTTTAACAAGATAATTTTGACGTTTTCAAATCAATTTCTAATAATAGTGCTAAAAAAAGATGAATTTAGATAGTAAAGATAAGTTATTATGTACACCTCCAGAAATAAGAGAAATAGCTAATAATGCAATACAGAATTTATTACCAGAAAAATCAAAAAGCAAGTATAAAGGTGTATACTAAAATTTTCAAGATTGGTGTAACTCGTTTACAGAAAATGTACCTTTGGCATATTTTAATGAACTTAACAATAAATATAAAGCATCGTCTCTATAGACTTTCTACTCCTTACTAAGAAGCACGCTCAACATAAATAATGGAATTTAAAAAAATATTCAAAATGTCTGAATTCATGTACAGCGAATAATTTAGGAACAAAATATTAGTTGTGTTAATAAATCTTTCCCCATCAATAGTGCCATAATAAATTAAAAGACAAAATATAATTTTTATTGATAATCAGGTATTAAAAATATTTAAGTGTATAACATTTTTATGAATATCTTCTTATTCTTACTGTTTTCAACAGGTTCTCAGAACACTCTTTTTTCAACCACCTACTTGTTTTTTCAGGACTGGCAACTTTGCATGCTGAAAAGTGATGCACGTCAATGTCGAAGTCACACGCCAAACTCCCGCGCTTGATGTAAACTTATCGTTTGTTAACCTAGTTAGGTAAACAGTTTGTTTTGTATTTCCAATTCGTATGTTCAATGTTCAATAAATACTTTAAACCCTGAAGGAATAGTTATTACACTGACGAACTCAATAGCATTGCATTACTCAATACTATGTTTTCATTTTCTTATACAATTATAAAAGGATATTGGTCTATATTTGTATCTTTTAAAGTATAGTGATCCAGATTCAGCCACTTGGATTGTTTTTCTTGCTTCCAAACACTTAACTCTTTAAACTCAATTTTTGTATCTGTGAATTACAAAAAGACTGTCGAATGTCAAAAATAAGTGGCACAATTATTCCAATTATTTAGCTGTTTGGAGTTAAACAGGCCAATGTAAATAACTTGTAATCCTTTGTTGAATTCGCAAACAAAAAAAAAACTGAAAGTCGTTCTATTATAAATGAAACATTATTAATATATTTAAGTTTGTTACAAAAAAATCTATGTTTATTACAAAACTAAACCGTATTTAACCAATTATTATAACAAATTTAAAGACCTATCAACCAATGATATTTTGTTGTTCGTGCGCCTCTTATATCCACCATTTTAAACTGTAGGAAGGTCACGTGGTGTGGAATTCATAATATAGAACCAAATTAATTTAATTACAATAAAATTTCCCTCTGATAACATCACAACTAAGAAAAAAGTTCCAAATCAATATAAAAATGGGGTGTCACTACTGAGCTTCCGTAGAGGGGCCACAATAGCATGACGCTCTATGTACTGAGAGATATAATGTTAAAAACTCAAACAGAGTCATCTAATTTTAGAACTACACACAACGTACACAAATGCTGTACCCTACCTTACATTATTACAAAAATGTTCCATTTTGCATAGATCATAGTTGTTTCAGGTCATTATGACACTATTCTAAATCTCTTTTGTTTTAAATATCACTAAAAGATGCTTATTAGTATACTACATAATATATACAGGACAATTTCTGAGTTAATACTTACTTTTTAACTATGTATATAGATGTTTTAAAAAAGAAACTTAAAAATAAAAAGAAACAAAAAATTACAAAGATTTAGATCTAATGATCTCGGTGGCCAAACAAAGAAGTCAGATAATTATTAAAAGAAATCCAAATAACCAAATGAGCCAGTTTGTGCCACCTATAGGTCACTAATCCTCAATTTTTTTTAATGTTTATTTTAATGACTTCTATATACAGCCACTGTCAACTTAAGAATTATCCTGTATAATCTATCAAAAAGCGACATACTTCAGCAAAGAAATCACAAATGTCTACTTGTTGGTTCCCTTTGCGTCATTTTTGAATACTTTGATATCACAGTAATGTCTTATTAAATTATTTTTTACTTTCAAAAGCTACATTTAATTATTAACATTGACTTTTTAAGCCACATTATTGACACTTATTATAATTTATTATTAAGCCTTATATAATTTTAGGTCGTTTATGAAAATAATAATTTTGATTTCAATAAATTTAAAATATATTTTGATTTTAAAAATAGTTATTTGAAATTTTATTATATTTACAACTTAGATTGTGGAATAAATCTAGCGAACTTATTTTAATGAAAAAATTATATAACTTCGACTCTTAACAAGTTTTTTTTAAATATTTAGGTAGTTAAAGACAAATAAATAATGTAGAGAGGATATGGCAAAAGTCTGAAAACCAATGTAAATGTTTAGAAGATCAACTAGATACATTTATTTTCCACACACATCTTACTCGAAATATTTTTTTATATATATGCATTGCCAACGAAAATACTAAAATATTTAAATTTTACACTTTCCCTAGAATTTTTCAATTACGGTCCATTTTAGAGAAATCATGTATCAAACAAAAATTATAGAAAATAATATCGCAAACAACTTTTATTCGAAGAATTTTCTTTTCCAATCGTAAATAACAGATAACAGATATTCCTTAAAATAAAAAAATGATACCCTATAAAGTACCTCCCCTCCTATAAACTTCTACTATGCCCAAAATTTAATCAGCTCGCCGCAGGATGGATTAAAGCTGAAGTTTAAAGTTTTTTTTCTGTATCTGTTTTTCAGTTATCTTCAATACCTATTCGAACTTTTCAATTTTCCTCAAGTATCTCGAATACGGTCCATTTTATGGAAATCATCTATAGAACAAAAATTATTTGTAAAATGTTCCAAACTCTAGATATTTTGTTCATTTGTTCAGGTGTTTTTTTTTTAATAAAATATGAAATGACAACTCGAAGACACCGTTAAAAGATAAGCCAGTAGTCATTTATCATTTCTTTTTTTTTAATATATTTTGCCTTTGTTTTGTAAGCAATGCAACCAAATTATTTAATTCAATTTCACGCATTCGAACTACACTTTTCCATTCTTGAAAAGTGTGTGTAAACAAGTCAACTTTTCAGACTACTTCGTCGAACTAATCTGTGGACTTTTCCGAGGGACCCATCACTAATATACACAGAGGTTAGTTTTAATAAATGGCGAAAAAAGACAATTATTAATCTTGAGTATTGAGTATTATTCACAAATTTTGGTAAGTTTTTATTTATTATACGAAAACAGTGGAAAAGCAGGTAAGGTTTTGTTAATTTGTTTTAAAAGATTATTCTCTATGAGAGGATTAATTGACCCGTAACACAGTTTCATAATAAATACTTACTATTCTCATAAAAAATAGTCTAATAGATTCAATTCAGGTGACTTTACTTGTTATTGCATGTTATTGAATAATCTGAAGACAACTGCAATCATTTTTAAACTTAGAAAAAGTTGGTTCCTAGTTTATTAATATTGTCTAAACATGTATTATAACATTTAATAGAAATTAATCTGTAACTATTACGTCTTAGATAAATGGAATGTTTGACGAAAAATATTTTCCTAAACATTTAAATCTTGAAAATTTTTCCAGACTTTTGCCATACCTTGTAAGACAACATAAATTACAACTGCAAGGAATACATAATTGGTCGGAGTACAACCTGAACGTTTTATTAAAAGACAACACGATATTGTATATATAAATCATTCTGTGATTACTGAAACATATGGTATATTATTACACATGGCAGTTATCATTTTATAATAATTTAAAGAACTTTTAGATCTACAGGATGATCCAGTTTATATCGTCACGATTTTTTCCTCGAAAACAAAGTAAAATACCAAAAAAAAAATAAGAGATAAAAAGTTTTATTTTTAATTTATTTAAAAAAAAAAAAATATGAGCACGCATCTGTAATCACTGGATTAACTATAACATATCTGAAAGATACCTCATAAAGTTGTCAACAAACTAAAAATTTTATGAAAATCGGTGTAATCCTGTTTTACGATATCAATAAAAAACTATTTAAAAAAGGAAACAAAATTGTTTTGTCGAACAAACTACCTTTATTTTTCGATAAACTATCGACTGCTAAAATCCTGACGATATGAACTTGGGTCATTCTGTATATTGACCTTATATTTGAGATCTAGTCTCTATACCCCGAAAAAAATTTATTCATTATCTCACATTGTCAACCTATGTCAACTATTTATAGTCTGCCTTAACACGTGTTCAATATTTATACATTCTAAAATGGCTGCTCCAACAGAACTTCTTCTCGTACTCATGGGTGATATAATAACCCATTTGTTAGACCTTGGATCGTATTGTTCCACGGCGTTTAGACTAGAAGATCCATCGTTACCTCCTAATGCGTAGATGAAACCATCTATGGCTACTACCTCGTGAGTTGACCTGTAAAAATAAATAATTTCGTTAGGGTTTGCGAGCCATTTTCAATCAGACCGGTCCCGCTCTGACCCCTTAAGTTCATATATGCCTTATTTGGGCCTCTTGCGACCTCCACTGCCCCGATTACCGAGAATATTCTATCAGATAGGTCCTCCGAAACCCCCCGCCTATGGACACTACTGCCAGTCGAGATGAATAATCATTCTGATACGCATTAGACCCCGATGAATGATCTCGAAATCGCAATTTTTGGAGAATTGGAATGTATTTACTTTGGTCCAGTGTAAGAAATGGTGGAGGTGTCTAGAATGTTTGAAACAGGTTGGAAGCGCAACATTCGGGTATAAATAGACTGTTTTGCCATTGGAGAGGCACTATCTAGTTAGATATTGTTTTAAGATAACTTATCAAAGTAAATTAGTATACAGTATGTCCCCCTAAGTTGGAATCATATGGAAAACTTTTTTATTATTAATTTTAGGAAAAAGAGTTATTCTTCATAAAAAGTTTTGCATTATCTAAAACCTAGAATACAGTCATCAAATATTAAATTTTTTCAGTGATATACGAGGTTTGTAAAAAAATATGAGTTTTACTCAAGACTAAAGTACCTATATTCTTTATAAGACTGATAAAATTTGATATCTGATGGTTGTATTTTAGGTTTTAGACCAAGCCCGACTTTTTATAAAGAATAACTTTTTTTCCTAAAATTAATAATAAAAAAGTTTTCCATATAAATACAACTTAGGGGGACATACCGTATAAGTGTTGAAGATATAAAGTAGTGTATAAATAAATTCAGTTACAAAATTTATTAGTGTAAAAAGTGAATATAAATTAAATAAATAAACTGTAGGGGGTAGTTGCTTTCCCCTTAAATTTTTTTACACATTCCTTCACGACACTGGTTTTCTTACGTTGTTATAAAACAAAATGCCGCAACATTTAACTTCATTGAATCTTGTAACCCCATACTAAATATTTTTCACATTTTATTTTACATAACAAAATTAAACATGGCGACGTGACACCTCTAGTTAAGAGAACAGGTAAAAGGTAAAATAGAGATGTTGCTTCATTGAGTGAGAATAAGATTCTGAATTAGTACCGAGCGAAGCGAATAGCGAATCCACACGTCTTCTTGACGTCGCTTGGGTTTCCAACCAATCATCTGAGGACGCGCACGAACATGAGAACTTTCTATTGGCAATTTATCTTTATTACGAAAATGACGTAATGTTTTCGAGTCATCTCTTTAATTGCCAGAGGCATCTTAGATTTGTGTTTTAATTCAAATGTTTTTTGTTTTTAATTTAAATATATTTTGTTCTCTTCTTTGATTTAAAAAGATGTTGAAGGTTCTTCAAAATAAACGTTACATTAGAAACAACTGATGGTTATATATCTTTGAAAACATCGCAGTGCACTCAAAAATAGAGATCTCTGCACCTACATAAATAAAATAAAAAAATTGAACTGCAGAAATCAGAACAGAAGGTTTAGTATACATTATAGAAAGGTTTATACGTAAGAAAGGTAAAATAAATTTTAGGAAAGTTAAAGCTATTCATTTCTTACAATGAGCTACATATAATTATAAACGATTTAACAAAACTTAACCTCCAATTTGTATCCTATATACGGCTTATTAGTCTCCTACTCAGGTCACCTAGTACGGAGAAATTATTAAATTATTACTGGTCTAGCACTCAAAAACAGAGTTATTCATGAAAATCAATATAAATATGGAACTGCAGAAATTTGCAGAGACAACCAAAATAAGAAGTTTATGCATGAAAGGAAGGTTAAGCCAAACTTTTCTACCGAGTCCAGAATTAAGAAAGAGAGTGGTGACTACAATTAAGGCTGGTATATATGCAAAACAAACTTAATTATTATCAACTTACCGTCTACTATTCATAGAGGTTATAGGTTCCCAAGCGTTCCTTCTTACGTTAAATCGTTCTCCACTTGACATGCACATTGTACCATCATTTCCTGTTAAGTAGAAAATATTTAAATTGACTAACAGTTCAATGGCTAAATTACCCAATACGTTTCTTGTTTTTAGGACTTTCATTACCCGATAGTCAAGAAATTTGTAAAGAGTGAACATTTGAATCTGATTAGTAAAGTCGAGAATTTGAGTATCGAATCGAGTTTTGTTTTAATTGCTTACGTCACGTGATAAAAAATAGCTAGGAATACGTTAAATAAACTGTAAAGTGATAATTAAAGAATTGTATAGTGTATGTACATACAGAACTTGTAAAAAGCATACAAATTAAATAAATTAGATTTTTTCCAAACTTCAAATTTTTAAGCTCTTTTTCACAGATCATTTAAAAAACTCGTAAAACGGGATTAGTAGCGAGCTTGGATTGGTGTTTTTGTTAAAAAAAAATGTAATAATGATTCGAGAGACGCTAAATTGGTAGTTTTTACCTTATCGGGACTGATAAGACTATACAAATAAATCCTTTAAAAGAGCTTTAAATAATATATTTGACGTTTAAGAATGACAGCAATATGAAAGAAAATGCATGTGGTTTGACAGTTGACAATCATGGCTATCTAGTGGAAAGTACCCATGCAACAATCTATAAAATAAGCTTCGTAAGATGGAAACTGTTTTGATGCAGTATAGATTTTTAAGGATGTAATGTATTACATAGCTTATGTAGCGAAATCTTAATAGTATGTGACAATACCTCCTATGCAATAAAGATGTCCGTTTAAAGCTGCCACACCACAACTACTTCTTCTAGAAGACATTGATGGAACGGACTGCCATGTACCCTCCCTTGGATCAAATCTAAAAAAATCAATACAAATTAATATAGTATATTACATTAAGAGTATGGAAAGTGACATTTTTCACACGAGTGGGAAATATTATCGCATAAGCCGAGTGCGAAAATTATGCGAGTGTGAAAAATCACTTTCACACAAGTAATGTACTATATTTTCGACTACAAAATAATTTTATCAAAAAAATGTAAAACTAAGAAATCTGGTTTAAAGATTCAATCAAGACATGGGTGGTTTTAGATTTGTTTTTTTATATGCCTTATTGAATAATTTTTAAAGCGTTTTACAGATAGTGTCTTGTCAAAATTAAAAATATTGTGATTCCATTTAAATACAATTTCATAGGATGATAAAGATAAAATAACATTAGGTACGTTTTTCATTAGCCTATTTTTTACAAATAAGTTGAACAACCGTGAACAAAACTTTTTTATTATTAATGATTACCCACTTCTCTACTTACAGTTATTAAATAGTACAAAATAGCGAAAAGAATAAATAAACAACAATAAATGTATTTTTCCAATTTTCATTCGTTTAATAAAAACAATAAAGAAAAAGATAATTCACCGGGAGTTGAACCAGCTTCACGAAATGGTCGCGAAATGCCAAGATGAAAAAGTTACCGTTATGTCATTTGACTAATTAAATATGTAGGTATATATGCACCAGGAAAAAGGAAAAATAATGTGGGTAGTTACTTTAAAATTATTTTGTACATTTTTTAAAAAGAAATATTTAGGATCTATATTTAAAACATAATGTTAACAATTTAATCATCAAATCGATTTTAGTGTACATTAAAATGGACACTACATCAATTAAAATAGAAATTAGACGTCTCACATATTTGACAGCTTATGCGGAAAGTGGATTCATGTTCACACACGGGTGCAAAGTAGATTTATTTACACGCGTGACTAAATAAATGATACCCAAATTTAAAATAAGACAGCAAAAAAACTTGACTTTCGTGCAAAATTGTTCTATTTAAAATGCAAAGCGCTTTCGTCATAACGCCATCTTTAGTACTAATCTACAATAATTGTAGCTGGAAATATGTGATATAAAATTATGTAAATAAAAAATATGAACAAGAAATTTGAGTCACAAAATTAATTTTTAAAAAAATGTACAGTTAACAAATTTACAAATGAAAGTACAAAATTACAGAAAACCCAATGTTGAAGACAATGACAGGACATACACCCTCAATCTTTCAGGAGGTTTCTTAATACAGGATGCTTCATAAGTTATTTTTTTTGTGTATTAATTCGGTAAAATAAAATTTTTAAGTAACCTTTTCAGTGACTCAAAAATTAGAGAGACACCCGTTTAAGTTGTAAGTACGAATCTGATAAGTTTGACATTTTTTAATTTAATTTCATTCGAGATTTTCCGAAAAAAAATCTGTTATTGTGCGTTTTTACTAGATCCAGTCATCGATAGGAATTACCTTTTTCCAAATAAATACGTATTTAAAAGAACTTTTGAAATAGCTTGTATACGGAAGCTGAGAAAGTTACCTAAATAAAATATTTATCTGCTACCTATATATTTTTAAATTAATCAAATACCATTCAGCGATTAAAAAACTATTAAAATTTATTTTACGTTTTATTTCTTACCTTTCAACCGATGCTTGATAATTCGTAGAATCAAATCCTCCAAGAGCATATATACAATTCTCTAAAAATAAAATAAATTTAGTATGAATATACCATGATACAAAAAATGTCAGAGTTATCATAGCAAACGAAATTTCGTAGAGTTCACACATAATATGACAATGTGGCAATACGATGGCGCAATCAGTAGATTAAAATGTATTTACAAGCGCAGTTGTCGATCAGCTGATACCATAAATTCGTCACCGTGAAGTAACAATCTCTGTAATATCATATTGGTTTTATAGTATCTTGTGTAGATACAAGAATACTAGAAAAGTTAGTCTTGTTAGCTTTAGATAAACACATTTATTCGGTATCTTACCTACTACGGCTATCCTACAGTATCGTCTTCTTGTGTTCATAGCAGGACAACTGCACCATACTCCGGTTAGGGGATCGAATCTTTCCATGGAACTTAAACACGAGGCTCCGTCATAGCCACCACAAACGTATATTAGGCCATCGAATGAGCAAATACCTACAATATACAAATATCAATTTATATATCAGGAGTCTAATATCAAATGTAGTAAAGTCCACTTTTCTAAATTTTCCACTACACAACAAAAACTATTTAAAAAATATTAGGACGTTACATAAAATTACTGTTTTGGCTTTTAAAAGTGTAAATAAATTATTTTATGTACCTAAATAATTGCAGTCAAAATCACCGTAGGATTTTGAATAATATTTTAAATTGACTATACAGTACTTCTCAAAAGTCCCCTCTCCCCTCTTTTTTTTTTGAACGGTGATACTTAGATTGATGAAATTTGGAGGGTGAAAATGAACTATTGTAAGCTTCTCTACTAGTGGTAAGAGGTGACGTAATAGGCATCGGTGACGTCACCAGGCAACTGAAACCAATAATATTAAATGGGACCTTATATCAAGTGACACCTCGTTTGAAAAGTAGTTAGAATACTTATTAAATCATACTATTTTTTTTGGATTTACGATGTCTTTGATGGTTAAAATAAGGTCCTATTTAATATTATTGGTATCAATTGCCTGGTGATGTCACCGATGCCTATTACGTCACCTATTACCACTAGTAGAGAAGCTTACAATAGTTTATTTTCACCCTCCAAATTTCATCAGTCTAAATATTACCGTTCAAAAGAAAAGAGGGGGAGGGGACTTTTGAGAAGCACTGTATATATTGGAGTTAGCTGTATTTGATATTTAAGGTTGGAGTTTGCTATATATGATTTGTTCATGAAAGGATATTGCTGTTTATGATAGTAAAGAAGGGTGTGAAAACATTCAGGACTGTGATCGACTAACAGAAACTAAAAGCAAATATTTTTCATATTGTCAATAAATAATGTGTCCATGGGCGCCGACCAAAAAATTGCTAGGGGGCAAGTCTTATAGGCAAGTTTAAATTGCCGCAGGCTATAGACGAAAGTTATAGCGAAAAATCCAAAATCGGAAATCCAGGGCACTTGCCCTCGTGTGACGGCGCCTACGAATGTGTCCCTTAAAGCTGATCACAAATCAGAAACTTTTTTATTATTCCATATCTTTGCATTTGAATGTACTTAATGTAGGAATTTATATGTTTCTTATTGTGAATATAGATTTACTAATTGCGGTCTTGAAAAAATGTTGCTTATCTCAATCATTTCGCCTTATTTGCTTTCCACTTTTTGGAATTTCTAACACACTTTCTTGCGTGTTTTTTATCTACAGGAGGACAAGAGACCTCCATTTTATGAATTTTCACTAAACAATTCTTATTATTTTGTTATTATATACTAAAAAACAGTAATTAACTATGCACGTGTTGTTACAAACCGACTATAGCTACCATACTGGTTTAACTACTTTTGTTAAGTCATATCTGGAGATTGCTGTTTCTGATACAAACTTACAACTTTGCTGAATGGTTTTAACGGCTTATTTCTGTTTTTGTTAGAAATTAAGATCTGCTATTTTAATAAACAAACATTTCAAACCGGTACGACACAAAAAGTTTCAATCGGAAAATTGCTGCTTTTGATATTAGACCCCTGATATGTAAATGAGACGGGTCAATGGATCAAAAAAAAATTACACTAATTTGTTTATATCAACAACGATAAGAAAATGAAATAAATCCCATTCATAGGGACAGTCAATATACTATAAATATAGTTATTTAGATTTTGGAAGAGTGGACCCAAAAATAATACTAATTTGATTGCTTTTTTAAAAGTATAAATAGCCTGAATTTTAATCTAGGCTTTATTTTGTTATAAAAAAATGGAATTTCGTAATTCTGAAAAAAATGACAAAACTAGCTGACTAGCGGTTAAGACGTGGAATGAATGGCGGAGAATGAGTGAGTGCACGGGTATAAGAATGTTTAAAGTCAAAAAGAGAACTGCATTATTTTGGAGTCAGTAAACACGGAAAAGCGGTGGCATCATCGGCAACAACCAATAGAGACCGGGTAACAACAATGTTAGATATATCGTTTACCACTTTTTTAAACTTTTTATTGTTCTTCAATTACTCATCCTCTAGTCAAGACACAACATCATTTTTTAATCTTATTTTTTGAACTGGTAATTGAATACAAAAAGAAACAACTAAACTTATTTTTTTAAATAATTGAGAAATATTTTGTATTGTTTGAATTTATTTATCTTGAATAAAATGTTGAAAACAAAATCACCGTTAAGAAGAAGACGTTTCAGGAAATATATCACACAACAAAAATATTATAAAGTCCACAGGTTACAAGATAATTGCAACCGACGTCACTACATCAAATAACCATTATAACAAGGATAAGAATCAGTTCAGAAATTGAATTTTTTTTTAAATATCTCTTGTAATTTGACACTGACCTAAGCAAGACCTCTTAGTGCCCATCGGTGTTATGGAAGACCAGGTATTATTTAAAGGATTGTAGCACTCCGCAGTAGCTAGATCTGAAGCTCCGTCATATCTAAAAATCAAAAAAATATATTAGTTTAAAATCATTTTCACAAAGTTTTTTTCGGAGAGCCTTTGTTAAAAGTATATCTAACAACACTTACCCTCCAACGACATAGAGTAATCTTCTTAATCCTGTTACTCCAGATCTGGACCTGCGCCATTGCATTGGAGCTATAGACGACCAAGAATCAGATTTTGGATTATATACTTCACATTCTGAGTGTATTGCAAATAGGGAGCCTCCGCCTGTAGAAAATAAAATATAAAATTATTCCAAACAGAAATATAATTTTGATATTTCTAAACTCTGTTTATATGTTTGTCATGAAGTTTGTTCCAGCGAAAAAGCGTACGGTCTTGCGCAGTACGTTAACGGCATTCCGACAAATAAAATGATAAAAAATTATCCTCATAAAGCATTCCAACTAACTTCGGATCGTTCACATGAGCTTCTGATAACATAAACCGAGTGTCGAACTAAAGTAAGATTAATAAAATAAAAATATAAAACAGTCAATGATAATTGCAAAAAATAGGTACACAATTCACTAACAGTTGATTAAGCGTTTCAGTTCGTGTACGAACTCTCAGCTCCTGAGTTGAATATGTCCAAATAGTTTTGTTACCGTTGAGAGGACGATACAAAAGTTATTCGTTGGAACAAACTAGCCTTTTTTATTGGGAAATAACTGAAACTCACCTATCGCGAACAGGTAAGGTTGAGCACCATTAGGTTTCCTTTCCAAAGTTCTAGAACTCGATAAAACACACCTTCGTTCAGGTGCAAGGTGATATCTCATAGCTTCTAACAGTAGTTCTCTACAGTCGTTGTTTTCCCTTATTAATTTTTCGTTGTCCACCCTTGTCATAAGGAACTCTCGGTTAACTAATGGAAGTCGTACGTGTTGCATTAACTAAAAGTAATATAATATTCCTTAAATTAAGGATTTACTAATTAATAAGTTATCTGCGTCAGAAAAAGTTCCTTAAATATTACTTAAACAGTTTTAAAAGTTTATCCTATATTTTCTTCAGTGTTAAGACTACTAGAAAATCTAAGAGAAGAGTATGGAACTATGGTTTTAATAAATATGTCAATTTATGTATATTACTTACCCTAGATATATATTTACTTCTTTCTGCAAGATCATGTTTTACCCAATTTAGTACAGAAGTAAAGACGTCTTCTTCAGAAGAAATATTTAACTGACTGTTCGAGATTAGTTCGTTGACTTCTTCAAACGGTAGAAGTAAAAATTCTTCTGTACCGACAACTTGTTGAAAATTCTGTAAAGCGTAAACGTGAGACTTCAAGTGAAGTTCTTTGCACGAATGTGTATCTAAAACAACAAAAAATGTTTTAGAATTAAAATAAAATCTGCAATGAGATATGATGAGATCGACACAATGAAGCAAGAAGTATATAAAGCTTTGCATCTTTGTCATAGAAACATAGAGTTAAATACAGAAAGGTATTCAACTGCTTGAATGTGGTCTTCTTAAATCTAAATAAATAATACTCTAAATCAATCCCACATGTAGGTGACAAGCAGCAACATCGGCCACGCTCCCTCCTAGCCATTGTGATTTTCAAAAATATTTGTTAAGAGCTACTGGATGACCTGCACCTTCTGTTTTCGTCTTTGCCCGTACTATTAGTAAATAAATATCTAAGATAAAGTCTATGCAACACACATTTTTCCACATCAGCCAGATTTTTCTTTATGACTAAGTAGAGACTGCTCAATTTTTTTCATTAACCGTCAATCTGGAGAGTGAAGAATGCAATATCAATTAACATTAAAATGTATTGGAGTTTTTAAAGAATTTCTAAAGAAAATGGTGGATATATTAGATTAGCATTTATCACTAGGTATATCAAGAAGGTCGCCAGTAAGCCGTTGTGTTAAAGCTGTTGAAAAAGAATTTTGTGACTTGTCTGCATTAGTTGTACTAATTTTAAGATCAAATTTAATAGACTATTTACTTTTTAATATCACTAAGTTGTTTTATATTCTTGATTGGCCACCATGCCAGGAATCTGTTGATTATTCTGAATGAGTAGGTAATCTTTAAAAACTGTTTAACCTGTTCGAAAATCGATGAATTCTTGTTCAATGTAGAAACGTAATCGATAGACTTGGCGACCATTCCAGTGGTGTCTCTTTAGTGAATATTTATCAGAGGTATAAGCGTAATATTCTCTTGGAAGGTAGCATGAATGTGTCTTTAAAGCCAAAATTGAAGAAAAAATTGAAATTTGGAAAGAATAATGGCATGTAGAAATAAACATTTAGTGTTTCTTAATTATGTTTCGGAAATGTTCATTTAAGTGTTTATCCTTTTAGATGAAAGTTGGTAGTTTATCTTACATAGACATTTTTATATTGTAAGTTTTTTAAATTTTGTAGGTTCTTAACAAGGACAAACCTTTTTATAAACTCATATTACATGCCTCTTTCTTTGATTATTTTCATGGACTACCTTATTATTAATCAAAATGTATACTTATCTTTACATTAAAAGTTCTGAATACTCTGTTACAGCTCTGATTCCAGTATCAGTATTTTTGACAGCCTCAGTAGCACACATTTAGAAAAAACCTATTTATGGATGATAATAAGTAAGTTAGTTTACTGCCTAGTTTTACAAGTTAAAAACTATCAATGGATAGGTTTACTGTTGTACAGTTCTACGTGTTTTCGGATTTTACCAAATTGTTGATTTCATAACTTTTATAAATTTATTAGTGTTAAAAATCTGAATTTTGATTTAAAAATCTCTCATTTACCAATTTGTAAAACTGTTCAAATTTTAACCCCAAAATTGGATTCGTAAATTTGTTTAAAATAAATCTTATTTTTATTTTATTTAACATCTTTATATGTACTAAATATTGTATTATTCTTGGAAAAAAATAGTTTTTAAGTTTTTTAACTACATTCCACTGAACTTCATACCCTTATTCCAAATCCAATCTGTTTTAAAGTTTAAACCATTATAAAGTTTATTGCACACCCTATAGGTTAGTATTTCATTATTTTTTATAATTAGTTATGATTTTATCTTTAATAAGATACGACAGACTTTTAGTTGCGTACAACAGCAGCGTTGCCAGACGAGATTTTCGATTACAGTCTGTCTTCTTTCGATCCGCATAAAATATCTTTTTTCTCTTTTCCGATGATTGGGACCAAACAAAACATACTTTATGAATGAAATGCATCATCTATTGTTTCTTTTATCTAAGGTTAGTAGTTACATCTCCTCCTTATCTCTGGGCGTAAGTAACATAAGGGTTTCGGAGGTTGACCTATTTTATCAATATTCTTGGTAAAAAAAAAACGTAAAGCCCGATATTGTGTAAACAAATCGCTATATACAGATATGATCATTGTTTTAGTCGTGTCGTGGTTGATGTAAATAGAGGTGAATGTGTTTGATATGTTATTGTAGACTAGCTTATGAGATATGCGAAGAAATATTCCTATGATCGGTAAAACAGTGTTCTTATCTGTATATATAACAATTCAGGTTAGTATCCATATATTTTGTATTTCTTATAGCGTCTTCGAATCTACTGCACGGCTTGCACTGAGTGCATACGAAAGGTGGGAGATATGTCAATACCAGTTACTTTTCAATCTGAAATGTAACCGGTATCGATATATCGCTCATCTTTTATGTGCACTCCACGCAGACAGAGCAGTGGAATCGAAGACGCTATTATATTCCTTTTTTTATGTATATTTGATAAAATAATTTTTGCTAGAAACATTAAAAGTAAACAATATTTACCTGCGAAACTTCTAATTCCTAAGCAATTTGTAGGGTGCAATTGACGTAGCAAAAACCTACAGCATGCCTCTCGCACTTCCTGCATCTGCAGAAGACTGCTTGCAGGAAGCAGCACTTGAACATTATCTGGTGTAACTGTAATTTGACCCGTATATGCGTATTCTATGAGTAGATCTATAGCTGTCGGATCCATATCGTGTATTTCTATTTCCGAAAGATTGTGTTCTTTCATCTCACCTAAATCAAGTAAGAAAATCTTATTTTCACAAAAAATAAATCTTAAAAACTACTTCAAACTATCTTTTAAAGGAACATTATAAATCTTGGAATTTTACCAAAGGATACTTATAGAGAAATATACCAATTTTTAGGCAAAAGCTTTTAATTCATACTACTATACCAACTTATTAATAAATTAATCGACTTTAAAATAAACCAAGACTCAAGAACTATATACTACTATACAGGATGGCACAAAAATCACTAAATCATTTAAAATTCAAATACCTTTATAAATTTTTATTATGTTGACGGAACATTTTGAAAATGTGCCATTCCTTCAGAATCTATCCGGCCGCCTTATAACAACAAACAACTACTTCCAGGCTATATGCTCAACAAGACGTTGGATTACAGTGTTATAAGGCGGCTGGACATATTCTGGAGGTATGACACTGGCCATTTATTTTTTGATCTATTTGCCTTCCATTTGAAAGCGACTTTGATCGTCTATTTTAATTTTACTTAATAAATAACTAAAACTATCGCCGGACTTTGATTTGGGCATTTAATTAAAGATGGCGTGACTGTTCGCACCTTATTTAGTTTGTAACACTCTTTCATGTATGGTTCGAATAGTCAAATTATCTTCAAAGTAGATTAAATATTCTACTTGAGCTGACTACTTCTCACCTGATGAGCCCCAAATAGGGCGAAAAGGGTCGTGAAATGTTAGCTCCTTAAATGCCAAATCCAAGGGTTTGTTGTATCGATAAAGTCGGTCGCGAACACGTTATATAACACTCTAATCCAACGTCCTGTTGAGCATATAGCCCTGGAAGTAGTTGTTTGGTATAAGGCGGCCGGACAGATTCAGGAGATATGGCACTCGCCATTTATTTTTTGGTTTGAAATTTTCCCCTACATGTTTTTGAAATAACGTTTGAATTTTATTTGAATCAGGGTAATTTGGTTTATTCGGTCATGTTTTTGTTTTCTATTTTAAAAATTTTTAAACTGTTTGTAATCGTCCCCATGTTTTATTAAATTTTGGCTGCACCCGAAGATGGAAATTTTTCCGAAACATATGTAGTGCTGTGCTAAACGATAGAAAATAAAAACATGACCGAATAAACCAAGGAAATTTTTTATTTATATAAAAGTTTGAAGTTTAATGTCATTGTATCAATGTGCATCTTATATTACATATCCTATAAAAATACTTATGAGTGAAACAATTAAATGCTGTTGTTAAAGATAATTTACCAACATTTTTATTTATGCGTTGTTTCTTGATAAATTTATTACTATTTTCCAAGATTCGTGATTCAGAATTTGTAAGAACAATTAAATAATAAGGGATAAAAAAAGTTATTCAATTTTGAAATGGTAATGTGATTTTTGGTCCAACCTGTATTTATCTAATGTTTTCTATGTACTTACCATTGAACATTGCATAAAAATACGGACTAACTGAAGCTAGAATGACCTTATGGGCTCTAAATTTTTCTAATCCTATTTTTAACGATATATCACAAAGCTATAAAAAAAAGAAAAAATGTAAAGTAGCCATTCATTCGCATAACAGTAAAAATACATAAGTGGTATTTTATGAGATGAAAAAAAAAATATCTTTTTAGGTCAAATAACATCTGGACCCAAAATTTCCTAATTCGATTAAAAGCCCTTTAGGATATAGACTTTATGAACTTTTCCACTTTACTAAACTTTCTGGCATCATGAAAAATATCCAATTTCGACAGAAACCTAATTATTAATGCTCGATATGTTTATCGAGAATGTCTTTAGAAGTGGATAAAAAGATTATTTGGACGTTGAATTATAGACTACGCAGATTCGAAAATGTAGTATATAAGTAGTATATTATAATAACAACGTGGAAAGTGACATATTTTGCATGAGTGTAGAAATTACTTTTTCCAACGAGTTATGTACACTATTTATTTACTGCTTAAATCCTCGATATTTCAAATTATGTTATAGACACGCAAACAAGATTGAAATAAAACTTATGTGGATACAAAAAAGAAGGAAATGATGACTGTTTTCTATTAATCCAGAATACTTCGATTTATTTCCTAAACGGATTTTTCGGTGTATTGATTTTCCAGAAAATATCTAGGAAGAAGAGACGATAATATGTTATCGAAAAACAGTAATTTCAGATTTTTCAGATTTTCCATTAACGCGGAAATTAACTGGAAATGAAACTTGGACGAGTTTATCAAATACTCGAAATAATCCGGACAGGCATCGAAATGGTATAAAATACAGTACTGGTTAAGAGGGGAATACATTTATTTTCCGGCATCGCCTTTACATTGTAACCATAGGGACATCATTATACCGTAAGAATCAATACAATGGAAAACGAAAAATAATATTTAATATTGTATTACTATAATTTTTACACTCACAATTCATATTAAAGACATATGTAACAAAATAAAATGAGCGACCGTTCTACGGAAAACAAGTACCTTTTTGGTACAACAGGTATTGAATGCTTCGTGAAAACTGATTTCGCCGCCAAATAATCACATTATTTTTTATCCAACTGTAAAAACAATAATGCTTATAAGTAAACATTTGTTGCATTTCAATTTATTGCAGTAAACTTCATGTAAAAATTCGGATCGACATTGCTTTGACTTTCGTAACCATAAAACCATTTTTCACATACTTTTCATCACACTAACACTCCCCACTTCGCCCTTATATATATATTATGAAGAATTATGAAGAAGTACACATTTTTAGGTACATCCATAGAGTAATGTAAGACTACTTTTATGCAGGGTGTTACGTTTTATACTGACAAATAAAAATTGATATTTTATTTTGGTTTTAGTATGATCTAGTAATACTGTATTCAACTATAAAGAATATTACAGACTTGACAAGTGTTTTCGTACTGTATCGTTGACGTCAGTTAGTTATTCGGAACAGCCTTAGGTATTTGACGTCAATGGTAACTATGAAGACTAGGGATAAGGAGAAGAGCCAGCATACTCAAAATACGGTCCCAAAAAACGGCATGCTAATTGAGCTTCTATAATTAACCACATGGGCGCTGGTACTGCATACGTTGTTCAAAATACATGGCTTCTTATGGGAATTATTCATAATTTTGTCAAAATAATAAAAATGAACTTGTTTACAGCTAAATAAAGCACAGAACATATTGTTGTATTTATTTCTAAATAAGTCTTGCATGTTTTAATTGATAAATTATTTAATTTTATCTATATAAAATACAAATTTGGTATGTATGACCAAATTCGAAAAGGTTTTTTTAATTGCTGAAATTTTGTGGCAATTTTTTTTTTTGAATTGAACCAATATATAGTTTTATAAGTAAAATAAAACAGTTAGCTGATTTTTTTATTGTTGTAAAACAAGTATAAAGGAAGATTTGGGAATGCACATGGTATTACCTCATCCTTTAATTTCAGCTTTCCCCTTTTTATTTTGCTAACAGTACCATCAGTAAAAATAGTCTCATAATATTTGATAATATCTTCTAAAAAGTGTAGAACAGCATCATCTCTAGAAAGTGCTTTATCGGCACTAGGGGCGATATATATGCTGCCACTGTTCTAAACGTTTAGTATCCTATAAAAAACATTTACAATTACACAATTGGGGTCAAAAAAAATAACAGTAGCAACTCTTTATCTAACATTAAAACTCTAAAAAAAAATATTTTCTTTTCTAGTAAGTTAAATTTAATGCATAATTAATGTTGTTTGTAAGTCAGCATCTATAACTGTAAAATTTTATATTATAGAAACTTGTAATGAAATAAACTACACTTCGTAAGATACATATTGTGACTAGTTTACAATAAATATTATATTTAGACATAAATACATTATTTTACTTGCATTAAAAGCTCTAAGAAGACATTGAATTGATTTCTTCTTGTGTTTTCTTTAGTTTTACCTTTGATTTTTATCCTGTTTTACAATCTGAAACGACGTAAATCTTGCTTTGATGTTTTTTGTCACTCATGTTACTTGTACTCAGGTACTTTTTTTCACATTATTTTGATTCTTTTCAACAATTTTTTAAACAATCACTTTATTTTACATTGACCTACATAGAAAATTGACACCGCCGTTATTCGATATGCCAACTACAGTCAATTTCGCGAACTTTATAAAAAGAAGGACGGAAATTTGAAATTTGACCATTGCCGATTCGTCTCCTTCTCTCTAGTCTTCATATTGGCGATATTTTTTCGGGAACACAACCTGCCACACAGGTCCCACCATAGATAAATTAATAAAACAAGATGATTTTTTTAAATGTACGCCACTGTCAACACGTGGTAGTTCCCAGCATACTATTAGTTAGCGCCACCGTCGCAATAGTATGAAAGCGATGTTGCCGGTTTCCGTAAACTTTCTTGAGATGAGAGTTATTTCAAATTCAATCTTACTTTAATTTTTTATCAATCTACATGCGCACCATAGCATCCATACAATGTCCATACTATTGCTGGGATTTTTAAAAGAAGGAGATGACAACCTCGTAAAAAATGAAAACCGTGATGGCGGAAGGCCAAATATGATAATGAAATGTTAAAACTTATTTTATGAATTATGATGAAAGTTCTAAAGATCGGCAAGTTATTTTTAAGAAGATAAACAGTGTTGATTTGATGTAATTAGTAAGTATTAGCAATTTAATTTAATATTAAAGGTGTGTAGATTTATTTAAGGACTTTGTTTATCATTGTTTTCTTAACCTTATATAATTTCATATTTCATAGATTTTCAATTCTGTTTTTATATTTGAAACAAGAAATGTCTGGCCCGGGTATAGTCAAGTATTCTCGAGAGTATTCTTGTTCAGCTCCTAATTGTTTAAATAAGTATTATTCTAAAATTCAGAAAGTTGGATACCTAATCAAATATTAAACCTTTTTCATTTTCCTTCCCATATTAAAATTTGCCAGAACTGGTTTAAGACTTTAAATTTAACTTTAGATAATAATACTCGCTATCTTTGTGCGGACCATTTTTGCCTGAGTCTTAGTAGGGTTTCATCAAAACGTAAACTGTTAGTTGGACATTCTGTACCAATTTTATTAGATAATTGTGCATCCAGTATCTAGTTCCAAAATACAACCTGAGAATTAGATTTTAGAATAAGTTGAGGCCGAAGCACAAATATAGCAGCATAAGAAAAACAAGAAATTAGTTTCAAACTTAAGAATTAGTGATGAACAATTTGAAGGACCCTTGAAACGAAGAAAAACAATAAATAAATAAAAGTAGTCAGAAATTTAAGTCCTAAAGAGAAAAAGTTGAATTTTATTAATATTTGATAAGAGAAATTGTTCAATAAGACATATGTACAATTTTTGTTCTGTTTTTATAGGAAACAGGGGACACCCAACAAAATATGGTCCATTTTTCCAAGAATGGGGGAGACTACTTACTATTCATTTTACTTACAATTGTTGTTTACTATTGAGCTCATGTATGTATGTATGTATGTATGTATTACTGTATAATAAATAATTAAAATATATGTTTCAAATATTTTATTTTAATGTAAATATTTTTTGTTTATATTTTTTGGGGTTTTATTACAAAAAAAAAAAAAATATTAATATTTATGTTAAATGCATTATTTTGATGTAAATATTAGTTTTTTTTAGAGTAATGAATGCCAAAAAAATGTAAATAAATAATAAATTATATTTGAATGAACCGCGGTTCGCTTAAAGCTCTTCTTTTTTTATTCTTTTCTTTCTTGTTCGGCCTCTAACTGGCAAGTCAATCAGCCAGTGTAGTTAAAAAAAAATCCGTTCCATACTAATTCGCAGCACTGTTTGTTTCCAAAAATTAACACGGGATCCGACTATCTTCTTTATTAATTTATCTATGGGTCCCACACCCGCACGCGACAAGTTATGTAACTTAGGTTACTCATTGTAAACCACCCTGAAAAGGAGAAAAACTCCTATAGCACGGAATTAGGAAAATAAAATATCCTAGAAAATGTAAACAAAACTTATGAAAAAGTCAACATTAAAAAAAAAGAAAAATGAAAGGCTTTTCTCAGTTATCCCACTTCATACACACAAATTGACAATTAGCGCCGTGACTAACCGAAGTGGACGCGATACATGGGCGTACAAAATTATTTTATAGGTGTTAATGTCAATTTCATGTAAATAGTTTAAAATTATTGTGAATAGCTGTTGAAATTTTGTAGAATTATGATTTGAATATTATAATACTTGTTTAATAATTCTTTTTAGTCCATAAATGCATGCGATTTCTGGTTCCGTCGGTAACAATTTAAAATTACTTATTCTATGAAATGACATTGGCAGGTAAAAATTACCGCGAAATTCTCGAAGTCGTCCGACTTCTGCCCCTACTGCAGAGAGGAGAGCAGGAAATAGAGAAAATAAGTTATAAGTGTAGAAGAAAGAAGAAGGGTATATTTTTTATTTAATTTTTTTTATTATTCCAAAGTGTATTTTAATATCACTATTTT